TCCAGGAGTGGATTTCCCTTTGAGGAGTAGATACCTCTTGCTTCCTGTTGTCTCAACCCTGTTTTTTGTGGCAGAATGAAAAGCACGTTTTTACCAGTCCACACACTGTCTTGCCAGAGAAAAGATATTTATTTATTTATTTATTTATTTATGGACTTGTATACCGCTAATATCTCAGCCTAAGTCGGCGACTCATTGCGGTTTACAACAATTAAAAAACAATACCATTTTTAAAAACATGAAACACATTTACAATACAAATTATTGGGCCACCAATAATAATCCCATGCATCTCGTAACTAAAATCCCAATCCAAAATTCGTCGTCCTTTTGTCATCAACATTCGGTTGCAACGTATTAGCCAAATGCTTGTTTGAACAACCATGTTTTCAATCTCTTCCGAAACACCATCAGCGAGGAGGCTGATCGTACCTCTAAAGGGAGGGTGTTCCAAAGCCGAGGGGCCACCACAGAAAAGGCCCTGTCTCTCGTTCCCGCCAGCCGCACTTGTGAAGCCGGCGGGATAGAGAGCAGGGACTCTCCAGAAGATCTTAGGGTCCTGGTGGGCTGATAGGCTGAGATACGTTCGGATAGATAAGTTGGGCCAGAACCGTTTAGGGCTTTAAAGGCCAACGCCAGCACTTTGAATTGAGCCCGGTAGCATATCGGCAGCCAGTGGAGCTGGTGCAGCAGAGGAGTTGTGTGCTCCCTGCGCCCCGCTCCTGTTAGTATCATGGCTGCTGCCCGTTGGACTAATTGGAGCTTCCGGGCTGTCTTCAAAGGCAACCCCACGTAGAGAGCGTTGCAGTAGTCAAGGCGGGATGTAACCAGAGCGTGGACTACCGTGGCTAAGTCAGACTTCCCAAGGTACGGTCGCAGTTGGCGCACAAGCTTTAATTGTGCGAAAGCTCCCCTGGTCACCGCCGAAACCTGGGGTTCCAGGCTCAGCGATGAGTCCAGGATCACACCCAAACTGCGAACCTGCGTCTTCAGGGGGAGTGCGACCCCGTCTAACACAGGCTGTAACCCTATACCCTGTTCGGCCTTGCGACTAACCAGGAGTACCTCTGTCTTGTCTGGATTCAATTTCAATTTGTTCGCCCCCATCCAGACCGTCACAGCGGCCAAGCACCGGTTCAGGACCTCGACAGCCTCCTTAGTAGCAGGTGGAAAGGAGTGACAGAGTTGAACATCATCTGCGTACAGATGACATCGCACTCCGAAACTCCGGATGATCTCGCCCAACGGCTTCATGTAGATGTTAAACAACATGGGAGACAGTATTGAACCCTGCGGAACCCCACAAGACAAAGGTTGTGGGGTTGAGCAGGAGTCTCCCAGTAACACCTTCTGAGACCGACCCTCGAGGAATGAGCGGAGCCACTGCAGAACAGTACCTCCAAGACCCATCCCCGCGAGGCGTCCCAGAAGGATACCGTGGTCGACGGTATCGAAGGCCGCTGAGAGGTCGAGCAGCACCAACAGGGACACACTCCCCCTGTCGAGCTCCCGACGCAGATCATCCACTAAGGCGACCAAGGCTGTCTCGGTACCATGCCCCGGCCTAAAGCCAGACTGTGCCGGATCCAGATAATCCGTGTCTACCAAGAATGCCTGGAGTTGTGAGGCCACCACAACATGACTTTGCCCAAGAAGGGGAGATTGGAAACAGGCCGATAGTTGACGAATTGAGTGGGGTCCAGTGATGGTTTCTTCAACAGCGGTTTTATCACAGCTTGCTTTAAGCTGGCTGGAATTTTGCCCTCCCGAAGGGAGGCATTAACCACCACCTTCACCCACTCGTATGCCACGTAGATGATCAGTAAAGAACAAGGAGTCTACTCTTTGTAATGCAGAGCAAGTTCACAGTCATGTGAACAGTTGCATTAAGTCATACAATGTCATTTGAGAGAGATTGAAATGGTCCTTAGGTGTTCATGTGGAAGATCTTCTTCCAGCACCAAAAAACTGTCAATGTAAGCTCGTGCACAGCTAAAGCTTAAATATGTAACTGTTGCCAGAACTCCCAGACTCAGCTAGCCTCTTGAGCATAGCCCAACCCATGAGTTTGTGCTTTGCATTTTCAGTTAACACTCTCACCAACTGATTTTTTTTACATGCTCTAACATTCTTAACTATGAGTCGTTTGTAAGTCAGATGTTTGTAACTTGACTACCTCTATTCTTGTTGCAGGGCAAGGTTACATTTTTTGTTTTACTCTGTATCAAAATGTTTCAATCATCTCTGGATCCCACTCTCCTCTAGCATTTTTTAAGTCTTCTACTAAAAGGCTGGACACTATCTATCACAAAATTCCATAAATCATAATGGGTTCATAATGCAAAACATGATGTTCCTCCTGGGACTTCTCTTAGCCTGCATATAGATATTGATGGAAAAGAGAGTGGGTCTGCTCACTTCTTTTGCAGTGAGTTCCGTTTCCTGCTCCGTTTCCTCCTCATAGATTTTTTTAGTGTGAAAAGTGACTTGAGAACTGCAAGTTGCTTCCAGTGTGAGAGAATTGGCTGTCTGCAAGGATATTGCCCAGGGAATGCCCAGATGTTTTTTTAATGTTTTGCCATCCTCTAGGAAGCTTCTCTCATGTTGAGCTGGTGCTGACAGAGGGAGCTTATCCGTGCTCTTCCCGGATTTGAACCTACAACCTGTCGGTCATCAGTTCTGCCGGCACAAAGGTTTACCCCACTGCGTCACTGGGGGCTCCTCCTCATAGATACAAAAGCTGAGAACTGAATGATGATTGTTGCTGCTACTGCCATGCTTTAGCCAAAATGTTTTTCTTTGCTTTCCTTTTGAAGTGGCTACATGACTGACTCTCTGCTCAAATGCTTGTTTAGAACAAGACCCTCCTCTGAGATTGACACAGCCAGTCCTTGCTATGCAAAGCCCTCCTCAAAGAAACATCTTGTTAACTGGCACAAGGGTTGATCTATCAGTACAAAGAAATCTGGCATCTGCTGCAAGCCAAAAAAAACAGGTTACCCCCGTTACAATCAAAGGAAGAAAATGAATGTGCCAGAACACAATAAGCGCACTTTCACATTTGATTCAGAGCTAAAACTGGCATAAACCCATGGGGAGGGAGAAAGATCATTATGCAATGTCACACTAAAACCACAAGGCATCTTGATGCAAAACATTTTGATTTTTAAAGAATTTTTTAAAGACGCTAGTCATTGTAGTTAAAGAGGAATGTTTGGAAAATTTGATGGAAAATATTAAAGATCTTACAGCAAAGTGGCAGGCAATGGGAGTGGGGAGGATAAAGCTGAAATGCCATGCAGCCTTATTCAAGAGTAAATCCAAACAGAATTCACTGGAGCATACCTCAGGAAACAAGTTAAAACCTGGCCATTCAAACAGGCCTTCAGCAGGTGACAGAAATGCACATTAACATCTTATCATGACTGTTAGAAATGAAGCAGCCGAATTATGATTAAGGGATTGGTGCAATGTGCTATTGTGTGAGGGTTTATTAAGTTTTAATATGTTTAAGGCAGTGTTTCTCAACCTGGGGATTGGGACCCCTTGGGGGGGGGTCACAAGGGGGTGTCAGAGGGGTTGCCAAAGACCATCAGAAAACACAGTATTTTCTGTTGATCATGGGGGTTCTGTGTGGGAAATTTGGCCCAATTATCTCATTTGTGGAGTTCAGAATGCTCTTTGATTGTAGGTGAACTATAAATCCCAGCAACTACAACTCCCAAATGTCAATGTTTATTTTCCCCAAACTTCATCACATGTTCACATTTGAGCATATTGAGTATTTGTGCCAAGTGTGCTTCCACAGTGCTCTCTGGATGTAGGAGAACTACAACTCCAAAACTCAATGCCAGTACCCACCAAACCCTTCCAGTATTTTCTGTTGGTCATGGGAGTTCTGTGTGCCAAGTCTGGTTCAATTCCAGCTTTGGTGGAGTTTGGAATGCTCTTTGATTGTAGGTTAACTATAAGTCCCAGCAACTACAACTCCCAAATGACAAAATCAATCTCCCCCTATTCAAATTTGAGCATATCCGGTATTTGTGCCAAATTTGGTCCAGTGAATGAAAATCCTGCAGATCAGATATTTGCATTACGATTCAGAACAGTAGCAAAATTACAGCTATGAAGTAGCAATGAAAATAATTTTATGGCTAGGGATCACCATAACGTGAGGAACTGTATCAAGGGGTCGTGGCATTAGGAAGGTTGAGAACCACTGGTTTAAGGGGTTTTAATGTGCATTTATATGTCTATTACTTTCAGTGAGTTTATATTGTTTTATTTGTTTATGTATAATGGAGCATTGATTTTTTTCCCCCTATATATATGATGTACATAGCTGAGTCCCCCGTGGGGTGAGAAGACTGGGATAGAAATGAAGTAAATAAGTAAATAAAGAAATACTTCTGAGTAAACATGGAGAGAGTTGGACTGCAGGTTTACATATAAACTAAGCAAAATTTCCCAAATCTGACTCGGGTCTTTCAACATTTGAGGAAGGAAATACTGTATTACATTACGAATGTACCCGGAAGAAAAAGGGTAGTTCTATCTGCCAGACACAGAAAGTGTATGAACTTTACGCCCTTAGTCTTTATCATACTGTTCATAGTTTTGACTATGCTGAGAATCACGGCTGCAAATCACTGCAAAAGTTCTGTTCTTTGTCCTGGCCAGAAAAGATGTGTAGGTACACAAGTGTGGGTTCTTGTTGGAGCAGCAACAGGACCCCCAAAATCACACCTATTCCAGTTGCCACAAATGCTTTATGTGTCCCAACAAAGTCTGAGGAAGGGACTTCAAAGGCATTGTTTGCCCATCCTGCTATATATGGTAGTTCTGGCCACGAATAGAAATACAACAGAGTAAATGAGTTAATGATTACACACTACAAAGAAAGCAAATCTACATTCCACTATTATGCATCCCATATTTTCTGTCCCACAGCAGTATTTGATGATAAAGCATTACCAAGAACCCCTCACTATATGTCTTACCTTGTGGGAACGTATTGGGTTGCACCAACCCCAGGAAAGAGTGCACCATACTGAACAAGCCCTCAAGGCCGCCACTTGAATTGCTGAGTTGCGGTTCATATTTAGGCTGGGTGAGATTTGGCAGAGACATCTTTGCAGGGTAACTGAACAGCACAGTCTCAGGTCCTGGACAAGTTTAGAAAGATTTCAAAGAATTTCAGGAGTCTTCCGCCATAGAAATTCCTGCTTCTCTCCTCTGAATGGGCAACTGGCCTCTTCAGTGGTGTCTCTTCATCCTCTGCTGATACGTAAAGTATTTGAAAGACTTCTCTCTTCTGATCCCAGAGAGCTGTTTATCTTGCCTGAAATCAAATAGAGATATTAATGTGTGGGTAAAACCCAGCGACCAACAAGGAAAAACCCAAGTAGAAAAATATCAGTGCATATACTTCCTTCTCAGCAATGGGATGTGGTGGAAAATGTGGTTAATATGGGTGGTCTGGAGCCTGTATATGAGACATCATCTCCCAGGGTACAATATTCGAACTATGATAAGGAAAATGCACGCACACACTCCATATCTATTGTTGGCCATTGAAAAATAGCGGTTACAAAGGTTTGCACAGGTGCTCACCAATGGTTCTGCTTAATCCTGGAGATAAATTTATTTATTTATTTATTTGTGACATTTATAGCCCACCTTTCTCAACCATAGGTGGGTTACAGATTGGCACAATTTGATGCCATACATTCATAAAAGTGCGATTAAAAAACACAGTCAACATAACAATATAAAACATATATAAAAACCATTAAACTCTGTCCTGGGCTCAGTGCTATTCACCATTTTATAATTGAATAGGATAATGAAATAGAGGATGAGCTTATCAAGATTTCAGATAACACCAAATTAGGAGGACAGCAAATGGATCATTCCATGCTAAATGGTCTAAACCGTCCCACCATCATGTCTCCAGTTTTGTTCACATTTTAGTTGTAGCGCCAGTCAGAAGTTAAAAAATTGACATCTCTAACTGCAGTAGTAGCTGATCTGGACTCTCTTATCTGAAGGGTAGTCACTCAGTGTGCACACGACATTTAACAAAATGCCATTTTTTGGATCTAATAAAATTGAAACTAAATGTATAAATATGGCTAGTAAACTGAAATCCTTTACAGTTTTTTCCACTGATTCCGATGAAATTAATTTTAACATTATTGATGCAAAATCCAGTCAAACAAGTTGACTCAAAGTGTGCATCAAAATGTGTCGAGACTCATGACAAATTTTGACCACCGTTCAGATTGCAACAATTTCCATGCAAACAAAGACACGGACTTGAAATTTTGACCAAGCATTATGCTTATGCTAGATATAATACTGCCTCATTTGCAACTATCCAGCATCCATAGCTGTCCAGACAGATCTCTTCACATTTGGCACTGTCAGTGCAAATGGTAAGATCTGCCAAAATTCAAAGCCAATCATTTAAAAAGAGTCTAAAATATGCTTGTCAATAGTATCATCTGAAAGACAAACTTTTGCTCTACAAGACTGATATGTTTTTGTTTTGAAATGTGACCATTAAGTATCCATTTACTCAGGTCAACGTATGTTATATTTTGTGCATTTATGCATTATGCATCTTCATGGTCCTGCTAGTTCATTTTATTGGCTGCTAAGGTGCTGAGCTGCTAAACTTGCTACCCAAAAGGCTGAAGGTTCAAATCCAGGGAGTGCCGTGAGCTCCCGCTGTTTGCCCCAGCTTCTGCCAACCTAGCAGCTCAAAAACATACAAATGTGAGTAGATCAATACATACCGCTCTGGCGGGAAGGTAACAGCCCTCCATGCAGTCATGCTGGCCATGTGACCTTGGAGGTGTCTACGGACAATGCCAGCTCTTCAGCTTAAAAATGGAGATGAGCGCCAACCCCCAGAGTCAAACACGACTGGACTTAATGTCAGGGGAAAACCTTTACCTTAAGATGCAATACTTGCTGGGTTCCAGAGGATGCCTAAAGCATAAAGCAATTTTCTAGCCATCCTTATACATTTAGTTTCAATTTTATTAGACCCCAAAAATGGCATTTTCTTAAATGTTGTGTGCAAACTGACTGACTACTCTTCAGATAAGGGGCTCTAGACCACAACCATTGCAGTTAAAGACCTCAAATTTTGGGAAACTTAGTTTTACACCTGACTGGTGCTACAGCTAAAATTTGAATAAAATTGGAGAACATGATGGTGGGAACTTTAAAAAAAAAGTTTAGACCACTTGGCATGGAATTGCCCAAATACAACGATGGACAGAATCAAAATTCCACATGACCTAAACTAATGAGAGAGCTGGGTCAAAAATAGCAAAATTAGTTTCAAGAGGAAAAATGTGAACAAAGCTACACTTAGGAAATAAAAATAAAATGCAGACTTATAGGATGGGTGACACCTGAACGGACAACATGCGGTACATATGTGGAAGGTACCTAGGAGTCAACATCATGGCCATGAGTCATGTGTGATTCAGCAGCTTAAAATGCCAATACAATTCGAGGCTGCATTATTAAAAGTATAGTGTCAGACCTCACCTGGAATATTGTGCCCAGTTCCAGGCACCACAATTTAAGAAGGATATTGACAAACTGGAAGTAGTCAAAATAAGGGCAACCAAACGATTTCCTATGAAAAATAGTTTAGGGAACTGAGTGAGAGGATAGGTTATGAGATGACATGAAACCATGTTTAAATATTTGAAGGGATGTCATATTGAGGATGGAGCAAGCTTGTTTTGTGCTCTCAGTGTCAGAAATGTAAATGTCCATGTATAAATATATGTAAACTTGTTGTATGCTGACACTTAGTGTTGAATTGTTTTATACTTATTTTGCTTTCCAAAGCAAAAGCTTTTCAATCCATGGAATGATGAACTGAAACTGCAGGAAAATATATTCCATCTAAACATTAGTGAAATATGGTGCCACAGAGACTGGATGGTGATATTTTGTGATTGTACATTCCTGTAAAGCAATGGTTCTCAACCTTTTGTTGACCAGGAACCACTTGACTAGGGACCACTTTGACCAGGGACCACTCTTCAACATTAGTACCAAAAAGGTTACAAATCAGTTTTTGGTCAACTTTAGATTCAGTTTGGTTATTTGGGGTGCTGATTCAGAAAATTGCATTGGATAGACCACATCAGCTCTAGTTTTTGATACAAAAATATGCCATCCAGTAGTTGCCATCTGCCCACAGAAAACCATATTTAATAATCTAGAGCTGATGTGGTTGTAGTAAACTTTAGTGGGTAGTCAGCCTCTCCCCTCCCGACATTCCTGTTGCCTCGGCACTATAAGCGGGTTTCATGAGATCACTCACTCTTGTTCCCACGTGGTTTCGAGGCAACGGTATAGTAATGATGAGGCTGTGGACCATATTTTCGTTCTTGAGGACCACTGGTGGTCCACGGACCACAGGTTGGTAACCACTGCTGTATAGACTGGATGGTCCTTTTAGTCTCTTCCAGTTCTATGATTCTATGAAATATGAAGGAAACTTACTTTTCTTCACAGCATACCAACATGTTTGTTGCAGTCATGTCAGTGGACATACTTAGGTTCAGCTTTGTGATTCCAGCCCAGCAAAGCCATTTTACCACAAGTATGATGTCAAAACAGAGCCTGTTCTCTCATAATTATCCTAATTATCTCTCTTTTAATAGTTGTTTGATAATACAAGAAGAATCTAGACAGTGCATCGTGACCTCCACATTTTTACTGAAGATAAGTTGAGTCATTTCGTGTCAGAAGAAACTTCAGAAACTGCAAGTCACTTCTGGTTTGAGAGAATTGGCAATCTGCAAGGATGTTGCCCAGGGGATGCCCAGATGTTTTTTGATCCTGTGGGAGGCTTCTCTCATGTCCCCGAATGGGAATCTGGAACTCACAGATGGGAGCTCACCCTACTCCCTGGATTTGAACCGCCAACCTTTTAGTCAGCAGTCCTGACGGCACAAGGGTTTAACCCATTGTGCCACTGGATCATCAGCCAAAACGAGTGCTATTGTCAGAAGATGGCATGGAAGATGAAGGACTGCCTGAAGTGTCCCACTACCATGTTCTATGTCAATTCTCCCCACAGATTACTATAAAGACAAACACTGGAGCACAAATCCAAAATCTCGTTCACAGAAGCAATTCAAGACATTTTGCTGCTATGGGTGGAATAACAGACAACATACAATATTTAACCAATATACGCAAACACTTAAAAATGACATGGTTTTGTTTTGGGCACATGAAAAAGAAAATCCCCCCACCTAGTTGGTTACACGGATATCCAACCTTCCTCCCAAGAGCTCAAGATGGCATGCATGGCTTTCTTCCCCTCCAGATATATATATATATATATATATATATATATATATATATATATATCCTCACAAGATCACAGGTTGGACAAGGAGTGAATCAGGTACAAAATCATCCACTGAGTTCCATGGCTCTGTGGGGACTTTAACCTGGACTCACACATTATAACTCATTTACATCCTATTTTTCCTCCCACCACAAAAACACAAAGCAGCAAACTTCACATTAAAATACTGAGAATGTTCTAATGCATACAAGCTTAAGAGGTACAAATATTCTTTGAGTGTATCTTCACTATACAGTTGAAACAATTTGTACCATAAATATTCTACTGCCACAAATCTTCTACTGCTATCTATCTATCTATCTATCTATCTATCTATCTATCTATCTATCTATCTATCATAAGGCCTTCTGGACCCACACATCTAACAAAGTAACTACTACACCACAATGAGCATCCCTACTCTGGAAAACAAAATCCCTGTTCCTTTCCAGTACACTACCCTCCTAGGCCACAAAACTGGTTTTGAAGTGCCTTTCCTCTTTCCTGATAGTAAGAATGGTGCAACACCGAATTAAACAGTGAACTATTTGCTTCCTTTTCATGATATTTAAAACCTGATACCAGAAGCTATCTCTGTCTAATGGCTCTGGTGCCTCAACAGAATGAGTCAAAGGAACCCCAAGAACAGGTCATCTCCTTTACTGCATGCCAAAGCAAATGAGGCACCATATATTCTGGCATATAAGATGGCTGGGCGTATAAGACAACCCCCAACTTTTCCAGTTATAACATAGAGTTTGGGATATACTCACCATATAAGACTACCCCTCTTCCAACACACACCAAAAATTTTTTTTAAAGCATCAGATTTGATTTCAATCTGGTAATTTTCCTATTACTGTACCTCCTTGTCTGCCTCTCAGATTTCGCACCTGCGCACCTGCACCACTTCACTGCAATCTTCAGGAGCGAGATCTGAGAGGCAGAGAAGGAGGTACAGTAATAGGATACAAGGGCGGGCCAGACAGGTAAAAGAGGTGTGTTTTTCTGGGCCCAGAGCCACTCTATCTCTTTTTTCCATACCCTAGGTGTCCCGGGACTGTATTTCCATATTAATAGGATCAAGTTAAATTTTCTTTCCAGGCTTCCTGGAAAGTTTGGCAATGCCTGGCCTAAGCTGCCTGGTCCCATCCTAAGCACCAAAACATCATGTTTTACAACAAACTTACAGAAAAAGCAGTTCAATACATGGTAATGTTATGTAGTACCGGGACTGTGGCGCAGCTGGCTGGGAGTCAGTTGCATTAAGATCACTACTGACCAAAAGGTCATGAGTTCAAAGCCAGCCTGGGTTGGAGTGAGCTTCTGACCAATTTGTGTAGTTTGCTGTCGACCTTTGCAGTCCGAAAGACAGTTGCATCTGTCAAGCAGGAAATTTAGGTACTGCTTATGCAGGGAGGCTAATTTACGATGCCATAAAAATCTCCAGCAAGCATGCAAAGAATGAGGAAGTACTTCATCAGTGTCACAAATGGACGGTGAAGTGACAGCTCCCCTGGAGGCTGGAATACCCTCATGAAAAAGCTGGAATGTTAAATAGCCTCGGTGTGTCTGTCTGTATATGTCGTGTGTCTATGGCATTGAATGTTTGCCTTGTATATGTACATTGTAATCCACCCAGAGTCCCCTGTGGGGTGAGAAGGGTGGAATATAAATAATGTAAATAAATAAATAAATAATAGTAATTACTATATTTACAAATTTAGCACCAAAACATTGCAATGTATTGAAACAGCTGTGGATCCTGGCGGGAGGCAGACTGCATTGGATAATAAAGAACGTTGGATGAGTGAAGGTTGGATATGTGAGACTCTCCGAGAGATAGATAGATAGTTAGATATAGAGCTGGAGTTACACTTTAAAAATGTATCTGTTCTGACTGATGTACAAATTCAACTACAGAACCTATCTTGTTTGTAACTTGGGGATCGCCCAAGTGCTTATAGCTCTGGGTTGTTGTAGGTTTTTTGGGCTGTATGGCCATGTCCTAGAAGCATTCTCTCCCGACGATTTGCCTACATCTATAGCAGGCATTCTCAGAGGTTGTGAGCCCTCGCCTTCCCTCCCTCTCCTTTTATAGGTCTGATCCCAAGCATTTCAGAGCATGAATACTCAACCTGTAACCCTTAGGCGTGGGTTTCCTGAGACCTGGACTGTATTTCCATATTAATTAGTATCAGTCAAACTTTCTTTCCAGGCTTCCTGGAAAGTTTGCCAGTGGCTGGCCTAAGGTGCCTGGCCCCATCCAAAGCCCAAGAGGTGCCCCTTCCAAGTGTTCCCTCTCACCTGCGGCTCGGAGCAGCACAAAGCAGGAAGGAAGCGAGATATGGGTCCAGCTGCCGGAGGGAGAGAGAAAGAGAGCCAGAGAGAGGGAAGGAGGGAGGGAGGGATTGGGGAGAGACGGAGCAGCCCTCCCCTGGGCCCGCCTCGCCCGCCTCGCCCGCCTTTCCATCCCTTCTCTGCGCGCTTCCCGGCTCCCGCAAACTTCCCCTGCCCCTCTTGAGCCCTCCCTAGGAGCCCATCCGTGGAAAGTTCAGGAGGGGGAAGAGGACCTTCCCGCTTCCGACTTTCCCACGCATGGGCTTGTAGAAGCACGGAGTCAAAGAAAGCAGGGCTGAACTCACCTGGCGCTGCGGATGGCGCCTCCAGGCTCTCCATCGCGGCTTCGAGGAGGCTGGGCCCGTGGGAAGAGCCTTCCCTCCTCCTCCTCCTCCTCCTCCTGGAGCCAATCCCCTCCGCCCGGAGGCTGCCCACTCGCCTTCCCCTCCTCGGGTCGCCTGGCCACGCCTTGACCCCCCCAATGGATGCCCACCGGCTCCTCCCCGGCCGGGGAGCAACTGAGGACGGCCAGGCCGGGGCTGTTTGGTCCCTGCCCAGGAGGAAAGGCTGAGGCGCGCCAGGAGCCCTCGCCTTTTCATGCCTTGGGGACACTTAGAGACTCCCTTCCTTCCGTGGTCTCAAGGTGGCATTGCTGCCTCTCTCATTATTTCAGTGTTTCTCAACCTCCCTAATGCAGTTTCTCACGTTGTGATGACCCAAGAAATAAAATTACTTTCGTTGCTACATCATAACTGTCATTTTGCTACTGTTATGAATCTTGGCATTATATTAGATGTCCTTTGACCAGTAGCTGGCCACTTGGAGTGCCTCTGGTGTTGCTGCAAGAAGGTCCTCCATTGTGCACGTGGCAAGGCTCAGACTGCATTGTAATAGGTGGTCTGTGGTTCGCTCTTCTCCACACTCACATGTTGTGGACTCCACTTTGTGGCCCCATTTCTTAAGGTTGGCTCTGCATCTCATGGTGCCAGGGCTCATTTTGTTCAGCGCTTTCCAAGTCGCCCAGTCTTCTGTGTGCCCAGGAAGAAGTCTCTCATTTGGTATCAGCTATTGATTGAGGTTATGGGTTTTAGCCTCCCACTTTTGGACTCTCACTTGCTGAGGTGTTCCAGCGAGTGTCTCTGTAGATCTTAGAAAACTATTTCTCGATTTAAGGCATTGGCGTGCTGCCTGACATCCAAACAGGGTTGGGCCGGAGATGTCATTGCCTTGGTCCTTTGACTATTGGTTGCTACTTCCCGGAGGATGTCAGGTGGTGCAATACTGACTAAACAGTGTAATTTCTCCAGTGGTGAGAGGTGTTCCGTACTGGGCATGCGTACTCAGCTGCAGAGTAGCAAAGTGCAAGGGCAGATGTCTTCACTGTATCTGGTTGTGATCCTCAGGGTGTGCCAGTCAGCTTTCATATGATACTGTTTCTAGTACCCATTTTTTGCTTGATATTCAGGCAGTGCTTCTTGTAGGTCAGAGAACAGTCCAGGGGAACTCCCAGGTATTTGGGTGTGCTGCAATGCTCCAGTGGAATTCCTTCCCAGGTAATCCTCAGAGCTTAAGATGCTTGTCTGTTCTCACAATGAAAAGCACATGTCTGTGTTTTAGATGGATTAGGAATCAGCTGGTTTCCCCTGTAATAGGCAGTAAGAGCACCTAGATTTTCGGAGAACTTCAGTTCAACCATCTCAAAGCTCCCTGCTTGAGCGGTGATGGCATGATCATCTGGGGACACAAACTGAGTAAAACCAAAGAGCACTGCTGACCACTATGTAAAAAAAAAGTTGGTTCTCTGTATCCATTGATTCTTCATCCATGGATTCAGCAGCCTTTTGAAGGTAACCATAAGGCTGACATGACTCTGTTCTTGGGTAGGATATGCCGCAGAAACTGACCACATTCAGGTGCTGGTTTATGATTTACAAAGTCAGTGTGATGCCATTAGGGTTACCAAAACTGTTCACCTTTTCAGTATGGTTTGTTATCCAGTCAATGAAAACTCCGCAGCTCCCATAGTGAGTGATCACAGAGTAGTGATATGAGAGTTGAAGTCCACTGTTCCAGGCCAACTTTTACGCACTAGGTAACCTGACTAATGTGATTTGTTTTTACTTTATGGTATGCACATAGGGAACATGCGAAAATGGTTATACTATTAGGCTTCGAATGTTGATAATTAGAGTCATATCCTCTTCATACATTTCTATAGATAGAGGAAGTGAAGATCAGTAAAAATAGAATCTAAAGTAAAATGTTTGCAAGTGTAACTAACAGTGGTCTATCCTATCTTTACATATGACGTATATGAGAGTGGGAATATGTGCCTATGGGCTGCTTGTAACATAAGAAAATTAGATACTAGAGTAGAGAATAATTACTAGTTAGAGGACTCACAAGGAAGGAGTTTGTAAACGTCTGTGACCTGAGGAGTGGCAGGAAGGTGGACAGGATGGGATAACATAGAATTGTAAAAAGTGATTTGTTACTGTATTCTGCTATTCTATATAATGTGCAAATGTAATTTTTTAAGTGGCATACATGGCTTTCTTGCCTCCTCATAGCCTCACAAGATTGCATGTAAGAGAGGCCTTCTGGTCCAAAATAACCCATTCTACACTGACCATTTAATACAGTTTGAAGTTAGCCTCAAAATGCGTCGGCTAGATAATGAACACCTGCAAACGTGCACAAAAGAAAGCCCTTAATCTGCATCTGTGCAGCTTGTGTACTCACCATCCAGGCTTCAAACTGGTTCCAGGATTTCCTGTGTAAGGTAAAGGTAAAGATTTCCCCTGATATTAAGTCTAGTTATGTCCAACTCTGGGGAGTGATGCTCATCTCCATTTCTAAGCCGAAGAGCCAGCGTTGTCTGTAGACACCTCCAAGGTCATGTGGCTGGCATGACTGCATGTAGCACCTGCAGAAGTGGTGCCTATTGATTTACTCGCATTTGCATGTTTTCAAATTGCTACGTTGGCAGAAGCTAGGGCTAACAGCGAGAGCTTATCCTGCTCCCCGGATTCAAACCGCCGACCTTTAGATCCACAAGTTCAGCAGCTCAGCAGTTTAACCCGCTGTACCACTTGGGGTTCCTGTGTATGTGCACAACAAAATCACTTTCTTTAATACCAGTTTGAAACTGAATTCTGTGGTCAGTGTAGTTGTACCCTGCATTTCATGTCTCTTTTTAGTAATCGGCAGCGTAACTCTCTTCAATCTGGTTTTTTATTTATTTTATTTTGTGTCAAAAGCATTGTATACATAAGTATAAAACTGATAAAAATAGAAGGAGCACAAGCGGCTAAATAATTTTTGACCAAAACCAGGCAAAACTCAACTGCATTGTCTGTTTTTGATTTAGGAGCCCTTCTCTTGGCAAGTGGAGTTGTAGAAGAAAGAGAACATGGCTACTGTTTTTTGGGGGGAAATGGGTGACAGATTTGAAGGGCTTGGAAAGTGAGAGAAATCTATCTCTCGGAAGTGAAATTCACTTCTGAAAGAATTATGGGAAAAAGGTGTCTCCACTGAAGCTTTCTCACCAATCCTTCTTTCCACAACAAGGCAATGTTTTCAAAATCCAATTATCACAAGGACAGAAAGTGAGGTGAAATCTTCCAAATAGAGGCACAGACAGAAAAACAAACATCACAGTGGTGTTAACCCTACCCTGTGCTATCCAAAGCACAGGAAAGCTTAGGGTCAAGCAGGGATGGATTACCCATGAAGCAAACTAAGCATGAGCTCAGGGCATCAAGGGAAGAGGGACACCACAGACATTTTCCATACCTAAATTTACCATGGGCTCTATGGTGCAAAAGTGCCCATGGTACATTCGAACCAGGTTCCACATTGCAAGACTTTACCATTCAAAAATGTCAGAGAAATATAAATAACTTATTGCATAGAAAAATAAACATTATTTTTCATCTTACTGTAAATTTGCTTTCATTTCAAAATTTACATTTTATTTTAGTTTATTATTGTTTATTGTTTGTTTGAAGTACTTTGGCCACATAATGAGAAGACAGGAAAGCTTGGAGAAGACAATGATGCTGGAGAAAATAGAAGGAAAAAGGAAGAGGGGCCAACCAAGGACAAGATGGATGAAGTGACTGGCTGGGGGTGCCGGGGGTGGTGACGGGCGACAGGGAGCTCTGGCATGGGATGGTCCATGGGGTCACAAAGAGTCGGAAGTTTTGTATTATGAGATAGATAGATAGATAGATAGATAGATAGATAGATGACACCAAAATCTTTTAAGTGCTTAGGCCCTCTAAAGCAGGCATGGGCAAACTTTGGGCCTCCAGGTGTTTTGGACTTCACCTCCCACCATTCCTAACAGCCCCAGGTCCCATCCTTTCCCCTTAAGCAGCTGAGGGGTAAAAGGAAGGGGTCTGAGTCTGTTAGGAATGGTAGGAGTTGAAGTCCAAAACACCTGGAGGGCTAAAGTTGGCCCATACCTGCTCTAAAGGTCTCAATCCAACCCTATAGAAAAGCATGGGCCAACCATGTTCAGTTCAGTCTAGTTCAGTATCTCCCTGGCCCTCAAAGTGATATGTTTTGTGAGATGAAACTGTTCTGAGGTGAACATCGTAATGTAGGGCTTTAAAATCAGCAGCTGGAACCTGACCTATTTTAAGCTCATTCTGACCTATTTTTAGTTGAAACCTGGCCTATTTTAACCTCTGAAATCTGAGGAAGGTCACTGTTTAACTTTGTGGGTGGAATATATTCCATGCAAGTGCACATAGTATCAGTTTTCACAGAGTTTGCACTTTTCATCAAAGACTGGAATCCAGATTCCTTCCAATTTCTCCCAGTTTGCCCTATTAAGGGCTACATCCCATGTTTTTTATCCCTGGCTAGAGTAGACCCATTGAACCAACAGGGTTTTCAGATACAGTAGAGTCTTGATTATCCAATCTTCGCTCATCCAACATTCTGTATTATCCAACACAGTCTGCCTCCAGCCTGGATCCACAGCTGTTTTAATACATTGCGATGCTTTGGTGCTAAATTTGTAAATACAGTAATTACTACATAGCATTATGGTGTATTAAACTGCTTTTTCTATCAATGTGTTGTAAAACATGTTGTTTTGGTGCTTAATTTGTAAAATCATAATGTAATTTGATGTTTAATAGGCTTTTCCTTAATCCCTCCTTATTATCCAACATTTTCGCTTATCCAACGCTCTGCCGACCCGTTTATGTTGGATATGCGAGATTCTATGTCTATTTACCATTCAGCAATTTATTCAACAGCTCTGCTCCAGTTGGAGCCTGCAATGGCATTTAGGATGCAGTTTGTTTTCCGGTTTCAATTATTTTTTTTTCTAGGCTGCATTTTACAAATGCCAGAGGCAGGATGTCAAAAAAAGAGCTCTTCCGTTTGCACTGATTCA